TCCATCAATTTCCTCTCTCGGATTCAATTACTTCTTGGTAAAGATGTACTTCAAACTCTGATGATCTATATGAACGCACATTCTATTCCATATAAATAATATCTCTAAATAATATCTCTAGATAATGTAATAACCACCAAATCCAAATTATGAGCAGGATAATTTTTCTCATGCGAGTTTAAATACAAAACATAACTCAACTCTCAAATAAGCACAAATGAAAACCATATGGAAAGATTAGAATGGGTAATCATTCAACTTCTGAAACTAGCTCCACACTCTAATGTTGGATAGAAAAAACTACATTTTGTGTCAATTTAATGAAGGAAATCATAATCTATGAAATTTTTGTAATAAACTTTCTATAATTACTTATCAAACTAAGAAAATTATGAACATCTGACACTTAAGTTGGTCTTAGCTAATCAACAATTGTCTGCACAATTTGAGAATCAATAGAAATACTACAACCGCTCATCACATGGCCTAGAAAAGTATAATCTTTAACCAACTTTAACTTATAAAAAACTTAATATATAATTGATGTTGCCTCAACATCTCTAGCACCAATCTTAGATGAGTTGCAAGATCATCTTCAAATTTGAAATATATCAATATATCATCAATAAAAATAATAAGAAATTGATCTAGATATGCTCTGAGCTCAGTTCATTATATACATGAATATATTTGAGGCATTAGTCACACCAAAAAACAAGATTAATAACTTATAATGGTTGACGAGTAATAAAAGCTATCTCTGCCACATCTTCGTCCTTCACCCTCAATTTATAATTACTTTTATCTTAAGGTTATCTTCAAAAACATAGTTGCACATTCAAGTTGGTCAAATAAATCATTATTTATTAGAAATGGATACATATTTTTAATGCTCGTCTTAATCAATTCTCTATACTCAATATACATACGTACCATATCATTCTTCTACGTCGCAAATAACACAGATGCACAATAAGAGATACACCCAACATGACAAAATATCTATCCAAAAACCCATAGCTGCACCTTCAACTCATGCAAATTTTTAGGTGACATTTTATAAGGAGTATTTGTAATAGGGGATGTATCGAGCACTATCTCAAAATATAATTCAATTTCTCTTTATGGAAGCAAACTCACCAGTTCTTCAAGAAAAATACCTACGTAGAAACATCCTTAATAACTATAATGGCTTTACTCTTATCTTTTATATAAACAAGAAATACCTTTCCCTATAATCTATCCATCTGCATAGCTGATATCAAAGATGATAACACACCTCTAGCACCCAAAAAATAAAATCCTTCATTACCGTCACAAAAGCTACCCTCTTCCTTTTTGTGAGTGATTTGTATGGGCTATCGATTATGTGTAGGCTCTTAGGATAAAACCATTTTCTTTAAAATCCTAATATTAAAAAAATTATTCTTAATAAAATTTAAGATTAAATTCAAACACTTTTAAAATTAACACTTTACTTTTTTGCATGGCCCTCTAAGCCAATTTTATAATTATTTGTTTTGCATAAATTACACCCAAATCATACTAATATGGCTTCTATGATTAAGAGTGTATATAATTACATTTATATTGTACATCCCAAAAAGAAGTATACTTGATTCTTTTACCTGACCGACCCAACATGTTTTATATGCTTAGATAGTCGTCTAGTGTGATTAGGGTGTTAGAGACCTTCACGACCCATACGTGATTATAAATCCTTTCGAGTCACTTTGCTTTGGACTCAAGTCGCCTATTTCTTTTACACTCTATAGGCATCCTCAGCATACGCTTGATAGGTGAAAGTCCTATTTTTATATTTTCTATCCAAATAGAGTCATGGGATTCTATACATTTTTTTCTTGTAATTTTAACTTTACAAAACTACTTTGGATTACACAACATATGGGTTGCTGATAAGTAGTTCATTGCGTATTGAGTCGATATGCATTTTTTTCTTGTAATTTTAACTTTACTAAACTACTTTGGATTACGCAAAATATGGGTTGCAAACAAGTAGTTCATTGTCGTATTGAGTCAATTACCTTCAGGACTTAATAGACATAGGGTCTTAATAGTTTGAGATAACAAATCCATAAAATCCTAACTAAGCTATCACTATTGGTCTAAGAATTCTATATCTACATATGGACACCCGATTTAGGCCATTCAATTTCCCTTTTTGAGTCTTCTGAAGTTGTTTGTATGCCCTTTTTATTGTGAGGCAACTACATATTAGGTTTCACTGATTCCCCTATGCTGATAGACAAGTTTAGCCTTGACAGCAGAATGCTTCCCCTATTGGAACAGGCAAAATCTCCTTGATTTACCTATTATTAGGGCCTATAACAAGCAAACATAACACCTTTTTATTGCGAATTTTTTTGTATCCTCTAAGATGTAATTAATCACGATGATACATGATCGTGGGAGGTCCTTTGAACTCAAAATAAAAATAAATTTGATTTTATCTCTAATTTAGACACAAGTAGTATCATAAAGCTCTTCACATACATTCCCTCAAATTTAGTATGTTTCATTTGTTTCAGACCGCCCTTCATCAACCTATGTTAAAAAGTGTGTCTTACAAGAACTCTTCTTATCTACTTAGGTTAAAAAGTAGTATCAACCTATGTTAAAAAGTATATTTATCCATCATTACTTCTTTCCTTCTATCCCTCTATTGCTTCAAATATAAAGGCAATTTGCAAAGGGATGTCCAAAAGGGACATGGAGAAAAGTACCCTTCAAGAAGAAAAACAGAAAGGGGGTGCACAAATTCTTCCTGAATTTTTTCTTAGGAGCTTTCCTAGACAAAAACAGATAAAATCATGCAATATATGAAAAAATATGTAATAAAGACAAATATTTAGGTGTTTTTCTCACTCAACACCCACCTCATCATCGCCAGCCCAAATCAGCTAACAATCCAATCAAACACAAGCCAACAAGACTGAAATCAATATACCATACTAAAGTCTCTTATTTCCCATAATAAAATCATCCCAATCTCCTTGCTTATTAATGAAAATTACCTTACCTGGAAAGCCCGGATTCTTAAATTCTTCATCGCCAATGGATTGGAATCATTCCTATATGACACTATAACTTGCCCTCCAAAGCTTCTCCTCATTGATCTGGCATCCAGACAGCAAATCCATATCATGCACTCTGGCATCTCATTCACCAAAATCTGGTAGCAATGCTTTTCTTCACCATATTCACTCCCATCCTACTGTATATGCTACATCTGCAAAAGACATTAGTAATCTGGACAGCGTTGGAAAGAAGATTTCAGTCGTCTAACCTATTCAGAATAATCTAATTAAAGGATGAGCTCACATTCCCATGGGTACCAACATCATGTCACAAACTTATCAATGGTGAAATTACGGGTGGACAGTATAATGTGTTAGAAGTTATATAAGGAAGTGATTTATTCATGTAAGAAGTTACGAGGAATAAATTATTTACTTAGATTATGAGTTATTTCATTTCATATTTTATGTTTATTTCCTTAGATTATGAGTTATTTTCTTTCCTAATTTTGGCTTTTTTATTTTATATTTTTTTCATTATCTCCAAATAATTAATATGAATTAATTAATTTGAGATATTAGAAGATATATTTTTTCTTTCAATTTCAACGTGGTATCAAAGTCTAATTTCATACACAAGCCACCAGTCCTACTTACGGAACCGTCAAACTCCCCTCTTGCCATCCTCCGTGCAAAAAGGGAGGGACGCTCGTCTTGGTATTATGATTTTTTCTTCGTTCCGGACGATCAGGAGTTTTTTTTTGCATCAGGACGTCCTCTGGAGTTTTTTTTCTGTATCAGGCTCTCTTCCGGAACTTTTCCTGCAGTAGGTCCTCCGCCAAAATTCTTCGTGCGACAGGCCCTCTGAAAATTTTTCATGCACCAAACCCTCTAAAACTTGTTCCTTTATCATGTCCTCCTCTGGAACGTTTTTCTGCATCAAACCCTCCTTCAAAGCTTTTCTCTGGAGCAAACCCTCTTCTAGAACCTTTCTGTAGCAGACCCTCCGGAGTCTTTTCCTGCATCAAGTCCTCCTTTGAAACTTTCTCCTATATCAGGTCCTCCGGAATATTTCTTGCAAAAGACCCTCCTCCAGAGATTTTTATCTAGCAAGGTCTACCTCCGGACATTTTCCTTTTTCTGCAGATCATACCCTGTAGTTTTTTATGCAACTTGTCTGCTTCTCTGCAAACTCCCCTGCAACATTACCTATAAGAGACTTTTATCTACAAACACTGCAAAAATTGCGGTCAACGACAATCGCAGTCAACTAGAAGGCATTTTTTCATTCAGGTTGTCTACTTTCCTGCAAATTCCCTTACAACATCACCTATAAGAGCATTTCGCCTACCTAAAAATACTGCAGGAACTGCAGTCAAAGACAACTACAGAGTGTCTACTTCCCCATAAGCTTGCTTATAACATTATCTGTAGAAGCCTTATGCCTACCTACAGACACTGCAGGAACTATAGTCAATGATAACCGAAGTACGGGATAAAGACTTCAAGTTCTACTTCACAAAATCTTCCTCGCCCATTATTTGATATTTCCAAAATCCAAGTTGAACATAATTTTCAGCTATGTTTCAACTTGAGGGGAGTGTTAGAAGTTATATTGGGAAATAATTTACTCCTGCGAGAAGCTATCGCAGGAATAAATTATTTCCTTAAATTATGAGTTATTTCCTTGAATTAAGAGTTATTTCCTTTCATATCTTCGGCTTTCCTATTTTATGTTATTTCATTTATCTCCAAATAATTAATATGAATATTAATTTTATGCAGGAAATATTAGGTGATATATCTCTCTTTTCATATTATTTCATTTTTATTATCTTTCCTATTCTAACATTCATGTAAAGATTATTTATACCCCCTCTCATATCAATGAAAATTCCGTTTTATTCTGCATAATTCTGAATTCCAACATAACAGTATTAGGTTCACACCTGGATAACGAAAATTTCATCATCTACATCCTAAATACTCACCCAACTATTAGGTAATTAAGATTATAACTCAAACACAACTAAACCGACTTGTACTCTCTACTACACAGTGAAGAAATTCATATCTCCATAGAAATGACAAAACAAAACCCATATGTAGTCCTTATTACCAGCAAGAGCCGAGGATCTCACCAGCAAATCCGCCCCTATAGCAAAAATTAAACCTTAAACCCCAAACCAAAAACTACACCTTAAACCCCAAACAAGTAAACCCCTACCCAAATAATAGAAACAAGACCCCCATTACATGTCAAATGTCTCAAACAATGGTATTCCGCAACAAACTTCTGGCATAGAACCAATTTACAATACAAAGCAGCCTTCAATACCTCATCCCATCACTATGAAATGATTGACAACACCACTTAGCCAGCATATAACTGGGTTCTGGATTCAGGTGCTTCATCTCACCTGATCCCACATCTTGAAAACCTCCAACAACCCATTCCCTACCTGAGCACAGAATAGATCACAGTAGTAAATGGGCAATCAACTGAGGTCTCTCATATTGGCAATAGCATCCTCCCCACTCCCACCATTGAGCTCACACTCTCCACCCTCCTCAGAGCACCTCATCTATGTCACAACCTCATTTCAGTTCATTAATTGGCAAGAGCTAACAAATGCTTCATTACTTTTGATGCTTACAAAATTCATATCCAGGAGCAAGCAACCAAGAAAACAATACTCGAAGGACTAGTTGATCAAGGATTCTACCCAGTCAGTGCACTAAGCTCAGTCACTACTTCCCCCACATGGAATCAATGGCTTGACCATCCACACATTAGAGTTCTATCCTCCATCTCAAAAGACAATCCAGCCCTACGAATTCCCACATCTGCTTTCTTCTGCAATGCCTGCAACAAAACAAGATCCCCAAATTATGTTTTGTAATCAGTACATCTAACCAACTACTAGAATTTATAGTCAAAATTGTGTGGTTCAATGAGACAAATATGGCTATATGAAAAAAAAGTGGGATGGTCGAGATAACAATTTGAAGTTACCAAGAAGTGTTATGGCATTGCAGAGATAGCCAGTACATCCCACAGCTGCTTTTTGACGGCGAACCGGTGATTGACTGTGGAATTCCATAGTGATATGGCATTGATGAGGTTGAAACTTGAATTTTGCTTTCTTAAGTGGGTTAAAAGTTAGATAGTTTGCACAGCACCCTTTTGCATGGTTGCATGATAAAACTTTTATATCCTTTATTTCATCATATTATATTAATAAAACTAAAACACAATCATACAAAATAATATACTACAACCATACTAAATTATGCTCCAAGTGTAAGAAACTTACAATTTCATATGTCGATCATTCACGTCGCCACATGAAAAGCTAACTTTTTTATGCATCTTTTGTTATGTTTGTCAATGGTTGCTTGATGGATCTATAATATGGGGGCAGAGACATCCCTCAGTTCTCTGGCAATCAGTATGCACTTAGCCATTGGACAATTTGTCTTGATAGCATTGGGGTTGATGTGAGACCTACACGCAGCATATCCCTCCTGAAATTAAAAAGAACATAAGCACTAAAATGAAAGACTTTATCTAATTAACTCTGTTTGCAAGGCTATATTATGATAACTTCTAGTAAATTTTTACACTCTCGCAAGTTACAATGTGGCTGCAAGAAGCATCACGAGCTTAACTGATAAGCAGGCCTGCAATTTATAGAGAAACAAAAGAGAAAGTGCAAACGATAACTTTTAGTAATTTTTTACACTCTCGCAAGTTACAATGTGGCTGCAAGAAGCATCAAGAGCTTAACCATCAGAAATGATAAACAGGCCTGCAATTTATAGAGAAACAAAAGAGAAAGTGCAAACTCATCCTGTAAGATGTACTTATTTACTATTAGAATTTATATTAAAAAATAATTTATTCTTATTAGAAGTTATGAGGATTATATTTATTTCCTAATATAATTTTATTTTTTTCCCTATTTTTGATTTATTTTCACTATTGAAGGAGCTAGTATTGGCGTCCAATATTTGCTAGTGTCGAAATTTGTCGGACGCAAAAAACCCAAATAACTCATCCTTTCCGCCTAAATTTCATTTCTTCGCGCTTCGTCTCTCTGCCTCCCCTTCTTCCCGAAACCCTCCCCCTCTCCCTTACGGTTTCACTCAAAACCATCGCCTTCCCGAACAAACCTTCGCGATACAGTCGCCATTAGAGCTAGCTGGGGAGGGAACGATTGGATCGTGCTTACAGAGATCACCGAAACTCCCCTCATCCTTAAGCTCCACTTCTATCAGAAAGCATGGAAGAAGGTAAGCCTATTCACGTTATTATTTCCATTTTTATGTGGTATGCATGTTAAAATTGATGTTTAGGAAAAATTATGGAGTGAGCTTGGAGAACCTAGAGTGAAAAAATTATGAAGAGAGTTTTCCCCCCTTCTATTCTTCGTTCTCTCATTTGATTAATTTAAGTTTTAACACTATCGCTTGTCATTTTAGGATTATGTTATGTTAATGTAAATTGGACGAGTGAGTTGAGAGAAAAAGACAAGCTTGAAAGGTTAGAATCCTAGGCTTAATGGGTTACCCTATGCTTATGTTAATGTAGATTTTAGGTTAATTTTCACTTCAAGTTGGATGATTGAAGTGAAGGAATGCATAAGACTTATTGTATATAGAAAATTATCACTTAGACTTGAACATAAATTTTATAAGACGACGGTGAGGCTTGCAATGCTTTATTGTGCAGAATGCTAGCCCATAAAAGAAGCATAAAAGTAAGTTAAAGTAGACTTATGTTAAGGTGGATGAGAGACTTTACACAAAGAGACAATTTGAAATGAATATATTCATGAACTTTTTGTTAGTTTTTGCTACGTTTGTCATACTTGTCCTGTTTTTTTACTTTTGTTGTAGACATGGTTATGATTTGTTTCTTATATAGATTTTGCACATTCCTCCTTTTACTTGTGTATACTGCTCCTACTTTTTTTTTGTTAGTCTTGCTACAGATGACCGCAAATGGTGCTGGTAATCAGTCACCTCAGCGAGTGAATGTAAGTAAAAATTTGACTTTTCCATATTTATTTTGACTCTTAATGTTTAAAATAACAATTAATAATTGACATTTATTATGTAGGAGGAGAACGAGAAGCTCCGGGAGAGACAGTTGCCCTCCTAGACCCCGAGCACTGCCAGTAATAGTGGTAGTCAGTCCAACAATGCGCGGTTTGAGTTCGAGCTATGGACACAAACGACGAGGAAGAAGATCGAGAACTCTCGTGCTTCTATGGGTGGCACGAGCTCGTCAAACCCGAGTACTACGGAGCTTGTCAGGCAGGCCGCTGCTATAACTGAGGAGGTTCACCATCTATGTGAAGGCCGACAGAGATTTGAGTGGAGCACCTCAAATGGAGATTATAGAAGATCATTGGGGCAAACGAACGGGGACTATTGTAGTTGAGGAGGATGAGTAGAAGGATTATGAGTTTTTATGTATTTTTAATTTATGAAATTTTTGAACTTTATTGATCAGGGTGTAGAAGTAAACTTTTGATAATTTAGATTTGTGACGGTATCTCCTTTTTCAGTATTCATATTTTTAATAGCTTTGATATATGATATGACTGGATATAATGTTGTTGTGATGTGGATTAAATATTTTAAAGCATGGCTCTTTGCTCTCGTTTTTCCATTTTTTAGGCATAGCTGCTACTTGTGTTTTATCTTTACTGCACTATTTCTTTCTGCTTATGATTATTTTTTCTACTAGTACTAATCTTTTTAATGTCATTCTTTTGTTTATAGATGGTCACAACATGTGCTACATGTGGTCAACCACCTCATAGAGCCTGTGTTCTGGAGACGCTTGAGACCACCTACCGTAGCAGGAAGAGGAGGTCGCCTACTCTTACAGATGCTTCCACTACTGTTACACCTCCTCCGACACCTTCTCCCCACATGTTGTTGATACCCCTCCTGTGGCACCTCCTCCCCCATTGGTTGTTGATACATCACTTACGCCACCTCCTCCCGCAATTGTTGTTGTCACCCCTCATGTGGCACCTGCTCCCGCACCTACTCCCCCACCTGCTGTGGGCACAACTCTTGAGCCTAGTTCATCGACTCCCACCCCCCGAGGGAGGGTACAGTAACTGCTAGAGAGATTCTTAAGTCATTCTTAACATTGTATTATGTTTATTCTTCATCCTAAGGAGATCCCATAGGGTTCGGTTGGTGTTGAATATATTGTGGAGTCCACTGGTGTCTTTACGGACAAGGACAAGGTTGCTGCTCAGCTAAAGGGTGGTGCTAAGGAAGTTAATAATGACAGATTTGGCATAATTGAGGGTTTGATGACAATTGTGCACGCAATCACTGTAACTCAGAAGACTGTTGATAGTCCATCAAGCAAAGACAGGAGGGGGGATAAGCTGCTAGTTTCAATATCATTCTCAGTAGCACATGAGTTGCCAAGGATGTTGGGAAAGTTCTGCTTTGAATGGGAAATTGATTGGTATGTCCTTTCGCATACCAACTGTGGATGTTTCAGTTGTTGATCTTACTATAGAACTAAGAAGAAGGCCTCTTATGAGGATATTCCAGGTTTTGTAGTTTTGGAGTAAAGGGCTGGTAGTGTTTCTCAAACTACTTCTCTTGCAAGAGTTGTTGCACCTTCTGGCAATGTATATACATTTGATTTTCATGAGCAAAGAGCTGTGTTGGCTAGGGAAGATTTCAATGGGCTGGGAAGCTTTATTACTATTTCAGTTATGGAGAAGCCTTCCCTGATGAATTTTGCAGAGTTACCAACTTGGTGTTCATTGACCTTCTAACACTGCCCTCTGCAGCAAAAATGTTAAGACATGATGGTGTGTTTCGCTCTTTCTTTCAATGTATAACGCAGGCGCAACACTCTTATGAAACTTATAGCCACAAGCCCTCCTCCAGAATCTTTCATGTAGTAAACTCTCATCTGGAGCTTTTCCCGCAACAGGCCCTCCTCTGGAGCTTTTTCCTGTATCAAACCCTCCAAAGCTTTTCATACAGCAAGTCCTCAACCAGAATTCTTCCTGCAGCAGGCCCTCCTCCGGAGCTTTTCCTGCAACAGGTCATCCACCAGACATCTTCCTACAGTAGGTCCTCCTCTGGAACCTTTTCCTGCATCAAGCCCTCCTCCGGAATCTTTCCTGCATCAGGCCCTCCGGAATCTTTCATGTATCAGACCCTCCTCCGGAGCTTTTCCCGCAACATCATGTTACCTCCGTAAGTATTTCCTGTATCAAGCTCTCCTCTGAAGCTTTTCTTGCAGCAGACCCTCCACCGGAATTCTTCCTACAGCAAGCCCTCCAGAGCTTTTTCCTGCATCAAACCCTCCTCTGTAGCTTTTTCCTGCATTATGACCTCCTCCGGAATCTTTCCTGCATTATGCCCTCCTCCGAAATCTTTCCTGCAGCAGGTCCTACTCTTGACCTTTTTCCTGTATCAAACCCTCCTACTGAGTTTTTCCTGTAACAGTTCCTCCACCGGAATTCTTTCTTCAATGGGCGCTTCTCCTGAGCCTTTTACTACATTAGGTTTTCCTCCGGAAGTTTTTCCTACATCAATCCCTCTTTCGAAATCTTTCCTGCAACAGACACTCCTCTGGAGCTTTTCCTACAGCAAAGCCTACCTCTGAAGCTTTTATTTTTTTTTTTTTTCTTTCTGTAGGTCATGCTCTACAGCTTTTTCTAGAGTTTGTCTATTTCTCTACAAACCCCCCAACAACATTACATGTAAGAGTTTTTTGTTTATTTACAAGCACTACAAGAACTGCAGTCAAGATAAAAACAGTTCACTAGAAGTTAGTTTTTCTTACCGATTATCTACTTCCCTACAAACTCCTTTACAACATTACCTGTAGAAGCTTTGTGTCTACCTACATATATTATAGGAACTGCAGTCAAAGACAACCGCAGTCAAAGACAACCGCAGTCAACTAGAAGTTTATTTTTCCTGCAAATTGTCTACTTCCCTACACAATTCACTACAATATTACCTAAAAAATCTTAATTCCATCTATAGACATTGCAGGAACTGCAGTTACAGACAACTGTAGTACATGATGAAAACTTTAAGTTTTACTTCAAAGGATATTCCTTGAATTGTTTGACGTTATCAAATCTAAGTTGAACATGATTTTCGACCATATTTCAACTTGAGGAGAAGTATTAGAAGTTATATTAGGAAATAATTTATTCCTATTAGAAATTATGAGGATTAGATTTATTTCCTAAGATAATTTTATTTCCTTTCTTATTTTAGATTTATTTTCATGAATTGGATTTATTTCCTTTCTTATTTTAGGCTATCTTGTTTCATGTTGTTTATTTTATCTCCAAATAATTATTATGAATTGATTAATTGGAGATATTATGTGTTATATTTTTCTTTTCTTGTTATTTACTTTTTCTTATCTTTCATATTCTAGGATTCATGTAAGAGTTATTTATAGCTCATTTTCATATCAATAATATTATTTCGCATTATTTTAAATTTCAGCA